AAAAAAAAAAAAAAAAAAAAAAAAAAAAACGGCCTGACTGAACTGCTAGAAAAGGCGAGCCCGAGTTTCAACTGCAATTGAAACTTGGGCCCTGTCTAAACTGCTAAAACGCAGTTCGAAATGCAATTGCAAACTGTACCCCTGACTGCACCGTAGTTTTCTCTTTCTCCGCATCACAAGTGGTTAACCGGGGACTTTCTCTTTTTTTTCTTTTTCCCCTCAAATACCATTCATATAAAAAATTTGAACTGAGGCCGGGGACCTCACAATTCAACCCGGAGTTATCCTGGCAGCATTAGCCAGTTTCGCTTATGAGTCTGGCAGAACCAGAATCGAAGACGAATACCAAATCAATCTCGCTCATTTTTTGTTACCCAATTTCGCTTACGGCCCAATACAGCCCGTGAGTCGGTCAAGAACTACTGCTAATCTACGAAGTAAATCCTGCCTAACTAACTCAACCTATCAAATTTACCGGAGTTCCCAAGAGAGATCCACCATACAGAAAAGCAAAAACCAATACCAAAGGAGAGGCCCGACGGACCAGCTAATAGCCGTGAGGAGCCTGGGTTGCCGTGACCAGGTTTCCCACCTTGTACCCTTGGACCTCTGTAGGAGCTGCCGTATTCCAGGCACCCTAGATCTCTTTTCTTTTCCTTTTTTTTTTCCCTTTTTTTTTTTCTTTTTTTTTAACAAACAAAGCCCCGTTGTGCAAGGCCTCTATCCCGGTGGTGGTAAGAGAACCCATTGGGGAAGGGTGTTCTTCCAGAAGGGGAGAATCCATTGGGGGGGAGGGAGCTGGGGCGGGGTATCTTCCGGGAGTGGTGGAGGTATTGGACTTGCTAGTTGTGAGCGGGGGAGGTTTGCAGGGGGAAGGGGGATCGCTAGCAGGGTACCTTCTGGCAGCGGGGGAGGTGTTTGAGAGGTCGGTTGGCAGGAGAGTGGAGTTAATGGGAGTAGGGGGGTCAGTGGCGGGGATCCCTTTGGGAGCGGAGGATGCGGAGGATGCGGGGGCGGTCTGGGACTTCGGGGTGTGCTCGGAGGCGGTGTGTGTGGCAATTGTGGGTTTGTGTTTTGTGCAGTATTTTTATTGTGTTGTTGGGAGCCTGTTGGGTTGCGGTTGCACTGGCTGAAGACGGGGGGCACCATCACGGGCTGGTCCGGTGGATGTCGGCTGAATGAGGGCGGTGTCTTCCACTGCCAGCTTCGGTCGTCCGTCCACCATGGCTTCCACTGCGTGTTATGGTCCCCCTGCAAAGACCCAATTTTTTGGGCCGGGTCAAGCCATGTTTATTTGAAGGCATTCGTGAGCTGTACTTTTTTTGTCGGGTCAGTGGTTGTTTTGAGTGTGTTGTTGAGGCGTGACCATGCCTTTTGCACATTTGTGCGGATTGTTTCAACAATGTGCTGTTTGGCTTAGAGGTATCCGAAGCTGGACTCCTGTCTTTCATGGGAACAGCGTGCCCGCCAGATAGTCATAAGTACCTCCAGTCTTGTGTAACTGAAGAGAGTCGACTGGAAGGTAGTCCATGTGGTTTGGCTCAACAATGGCTGGTCCAGCAGTAGCACAACTGGCTCCCATGGGAGATCCACTCCTGTGAGGCTCTTCCACGCTGCTGCCCACCATCGCCAGATCTGTTTTGCCATAGGGCAATCTAGAAGGCAATGCTCCAGGTCTGCAATGTGCATCTGGGAAAATATTCCACAATAAGAGCACAATGACCATAGTACACCTCTCTCTTCGAGATGGGACCCGGAGACTAGCCAATCTGGCATTGGCAGACAACGGTAAATGATCTGCCATTGTAGTGCTCTCTGAGAGGTAGGCATGAGGTGTGCAAAGTAGGACCAGTTAAAGTTTTTGAGGTCTCCATCTTTAAGGATGGAGTCTGTCTGCCACCGGTCCTCTATTATTTGGGCGGTGTTAACCGTCTTATGAATCTTTCTGTAGCAGTCTTTAACTGTATACTTCCAGATTGGTAGCGGATTGTTGCCTCCCCATTGCCATTCGATCGGGTCAAACGGCAGCACGCAGATGGGGGTTGTGGACTCGTATGCCCACCACTCGTCAGTCTCATCCCCTACCACCCTTACTCCCATCATATCTGACTCCGCTTGCTGTTTGTCTAGGTCCTTATTTCTCGACAATTTAGATAGTCTGGCACCCGGAAGTGTCGGTTTTGTAGTTGCACACAGTTTGGAGAGCAGTTTTGGACTTGAAATGACAACATGGGGTTGGGGAGGGAGGCCTGTTCTATAACCCAATATAACCCAATCCCCTTTTTGAATGGTTGGAGCCTTTCTGAGTGCCGCAGTCCATGCTATTGGGACAGCCCCCTGCAGTTCCTGTAACTTGTCCTCTAAGTGTCGCACATATTTCAGTGCTGATTTCATTTGCGCTAGAGATTTTCATTTACCCGTTGGTGCGTCCCACAGATCTCCCACCTTGTAGATACCCTGTTTGGCCCAGCCCAGCCAATGCAAGTCTTGTTTCAAAGAGAAGGGTTGACCTTGGGAGTTGAGGATAAGTGGGTTTCCGAACCATGGTTGTCTCAAGATGTTATGCCAGCGCTACGGAGGCGGGATTTTTTGTGGTCCAATGTCCCTCCATAGAGACTTAATAGAGACCCATAAGGGGTCATTTGCTAGGTCGGCCTTGGTGGCTGCCCCAAGAGAGTCTAGATCTGTGGTCCTGTGGGTGTTGGGATAGACCAGGCTGGATTTGTTAGCCACTCGAGAGGGTGCACTGATCTATCCTCCGGTGAAGTAAGGGTTAGGGAGGCCAGTTGGATATGGGCCAAGGGGGCCCATGGGACGCCATTGGCCATTCGTAGTCTGATTATTATTTTGAAGATTAGGGTTTTTATTTCCCCCGGGTCTATTACCGCCAGCCCA